TGCTCTGTAACAATGCTCAATAAACCCACCACAGTTCAAAACAAGTTAAGTTAGACAAGAATGTAGAGGAAGACCATGGAGAGATGTGCTCTTTGACTTGTTCAGAGTTTCCATAGTTTTCCTAAGGGTTAGTACAGAGCTGGTACAAGCTGGTTGCAACCGGCCTGGGTCAGTCTGGTGAGGGGCTTTGATTTTGTGTAAGGGGTTTGAAAAATGGGGAATGTGTTTGGCAGACTCTCTTTTGTAGATTAAGCACACACAGAAACAGTTTATTTTACTTTGCTTTCTGGCCTCCTGCAAAGGAAAACAGACATTAACAACCCAGCAGCCTGCGATCGGAAAGGCTGACAGGACGTAAATCACTTGTGAGACATAAACTGGCCGGAATATTGCCTTTGGTGCGTGGCAGCGTGGGCGTGAGGCCTGATGAGGTGTGCATTGGATACTGTTCTCCATGGCACCTCTGTGTACCTCCTGTACTCATTGCCCCTGGCACACGTTTTCCATTCACCTGCCACCCGCACCACAGTAACAAGCTACAGATCAGTGCCCCTCACATTACTGGAGTCCCTGTTTCCACATGAAAACCAAATCACCATGAAACTGCTGCAGCGGGGATATGCAAAATGAAATTAAAAAACTGATGACAGGCAGAAAAGCTTAAATACAGTACAGGTTATTACAATGTCAAAAAGCATCTCAAGAGCGTCACTTTGAGATACACTGCAATAATGATCTGAAGTGATCGATGTCTATTCATCAACAATAAAGCAGTACAATACTTTACACCCCACGTGGCACATCTCATTCACTATAAAGATGTACAGTTTGCTTAAACTTGTATCCCCTCTCTATAGTTTGAAAAATGGTTGTAGCATAGCCCAATATCTGAACAAGTCATTTGACCTCCACCATAATTTGTTGAATGAGCAGAAAACAATTGAATGCTCTCTTGGTTTACTCAGGAATGTAATGTGGAATGCCTGTCCAAATGCACTGAGGCAATGGATTGCTGGAGGTCATTTGACTGGCCAGTGGTTTCTAGTAGCAGGTGGATATGTGTGAACTCCATTTGACTTGATCAAGCAATATCACAGTGTGCAAAATCACCTTCTACTGAAAGAGCAAATAATAAAAGTATTCAGTTTTTTTTTTTTTGCTGGGAATCCCTATACAACATGACCTAAGACAGGTTTTATAAACTGAAATGGAATCTGGCCATTAACACACTGATAAATTGATATGGGTGATTCATTTCTACAAGCCTGCTTTCCAATACAATACAATTAAGGCTGCCAAATATTTTTTTTATACAGGAAGCCTTTGAATTTTTTTAAACCTGTATCTTAAATGCAGCCATAGAAACAAATAAAATATTTTTTATTTATTTCTCTTTTAGAACCAATAATTTGATTTGCTCACTGATTCTGCTAATCATGTTATGATAGTTCTTTACAGTGATCAGGCAATATTAACACTAATACAGAAGAGATGCAAATTCTAAAAGAATTATTTAAATTGAATCTTAAAATGCACATGCAATTCAAATAAATTTGAACTCTACTGTTGATGTGCATGGGTTAACTAGGCTGGAGTTGACAGTTCAGCAATGATTTAAGCATAGACACGAACCATTTTCTGTCTAAAGGAGTCTTTAAAAATCCTTTATCATGAGTCAGAGCTTATAAGCTGTCCAGTACAGATTCTTACGCACAACCATACAGGGCGTTTATTTCAGTATGTCCCTGTACAGAGGTGAGAATGAGACAGGAGTACAGAACCATTCCCTTAAACACACCTGCAAACCTTCTCATGCAGATTGTAGAAAACAAAGAACAAAAGCAAATCGAATCAATTTGGAGACGTACTTAGATCACTATCTTGAAAATGAGAAAATACCTGCAATGTACATTCTTATTAAATCAACAATAAGAGAGACCAATGTACAGAAAAGAAATAGACATTAGAATAGAAACAGAATCTGTTTTTAAGAAAATGTGTGTCCTTAGAATTCTGATATTCTTGTTTTGCTGCTCATTAAGATGAACCTTAGCAATTTAGCCATCGTTTTAAAAGGAGAAAGCTAAGAAGTTGCATGTAGATTTGATACATACAGGTACTTTGATTAACAATAACCCATATCAGTACAGTAGTAGTAGCTGCAGGGACCGAAATAAAAATGATAGATAGGTCATTTTGTTGACTATCTTTGTGTGATCTGACTGCAATGTACACACCGTACCATTTTTGTGTTAGAAATGTTCGTATCTGTATGTATCTGCCCTGAGCTGGTTCTGACAAATGGGTGACTCTGAGTCAGGAGAGCTTGGCTCTGCTGCCCTGGTGTTCCTCACTTCCTTAGAGACCTGACGGACCAGAATAACCAGCCAGACAAAGTACACAACACAACCAGATTCCCCCCCCTTCCACCGTGTCTAGCTCTCTGCCTCACCCCAAGGTGCAAAGAACTCGGCACTGCTATGTGGCTGAGCCTATTGTCACTGCTTTCAGCACTCCGACTGCTCAATCACATGACGCCATGGCCAGGACTGAGCTTTACAGGGGGGGCTCAATGCTTTTGAATCTATTTTAAAATTCGTTTAACATCAATTCATTTCTCAGGTATTTTATTATACATCTGGGGGCTCACAATAACATTTCAGCAAACTGGCAAACCCCAGTTCCTGATCAGCTGATGGCCAGCTCATTAAATACAGACTTCAAGACCAGGAATGGCCATCCCCAGTCCCAGAGAACCGCAATCCAGCAGGTCACCTTGAACACATCGATTTCCAGCGACTTGAGACTTGTGAGTTTTGACCAATTTAGTCATAGGCTCATTACCTGGCTGTGGTGCTTGAGAGCTATAGGATGCTGCTATTTCCATTTCAGGTTTTCTCTTAAAAATCTCACTCACCTGCTTAAGTGGTCAGAACGAAATCGATCCAAGGGTTTAAGAACCTGGTGACTTCAGGACAGCCTATAAAGCCTGCTCCATTGTGGCTCTCCAAGGCTATGCAGTTCATGGATCAGTTGGCCATCCTTGCTCAAGACCAATCTACCCCAGTACTAGTCAAGATAACACCCTTCTACCATCACCTGCAAATAATCCCGTCCACTTGACTTATGAAGAGGGCTCTGCCTGTCTTGTCCACACTCGTCCGGCCAGGTGATCATCCCATCAACAGAGAAGGATAAAGACTAATATGCGGCCACATTTTGAGGTTGGACTGTAACAGATGAAGTACAGCAAAGGTTTTTTTTTCTTTAATTGATAATTAGCCTGAAAACACTTCTACAGTACTTACCATGTATTACCTTGCAAAGATATCTGTGCTAACTAAAACCGCTAAAATAATGACAACTGGTCAAAACCGTGGATCAGCTCAGCAATTTTTTTTTTACTTTTGCCAGTCCAGTGAAAAATTCCCACAATTTGAGTCTGTGAGGGAATCCTATTCTACAAGTGACTCTTGGGTATTCTCATCTTCAACTGTGGAGGGGAAAACGATACAATTTGAAACAGATATTGCCATTTCAAGTTCTAAATAGCTCCACATGGCAAAAATCACATTTTCATCTTTTATATGCAGAACATATCTGGACATTCCCTCAATAAAGTAAAGCTGTTTCATTCACAGTTCTGAATTACTAGACTTACAGTATATCAATTTAAGCTATTGATATAAGTATATCAAAGAAGCTATTTGCCATGATGACTGTGTGCTTTTTTCATTTCAATGGAACTACCCTGGGACTGAGTTCTGTATCTTGGTAAAAAGACTCTCAAGGAAGCAATTAAGTGCCTACTGGGCAGAAATAAGATTAATCGGATTAGTGCCCTTTGAGCACTGAGAGGCGGACTGCAATAAATGCTAAAAATAGGCAAAATCAAACACTTTGCAGTCTTTCGAATTTTTTTATGTTCTTACAGTCATTTTAAATCAGTGCATAAACATCAGAAATTCTTGCAAAGAAGAACTTTAGCGCACACATACTGTACATCTAGTGTACATGCAGATAGTGTGATCACAAAGTCCAGAAAATGTAAAAAGGTAAAGGTTCCTCTGTTGTCAATTTGGTACAGGAAAAACCCAACAGACTGCATTGTGGCTAAGGAAATCTGTCATCCCTCGAAGAGCGTCTTTGTTCAAGAACGTAGGAACACACTGTAGCCACTCTGGCTTTCAGCCAAGAACCATGACAACACAGCTCAGGTAATCAGCCATTAACTCCTTCACTGCCCCTTGGGTCACAGGGGACTTGCTGAAAGTACATCAAGACCCTTCTAGCAAGAGCTGAGCACTACAGTCAACCCCAGACCTCAGAGCACTGATGCAGACTTGTGCACAGATGAAACCGGCGATTTTGCATTTTCCCCTTAACAAAATTGGATAAAAAGTTGAGTAATACACAAGACTGCATTTCCTCACAGTGGCATTTCATTATTCACTTTGTCTTCAAGACTTCCATGTTGTGTCAAATGAGATTGATAGCATCTGCCAGCCCCAATGCAACCTTAATGCAAATTGCATCACATATCTGCACCATACTAATCTGGTACACGATCTACATTTAATTAGAAATGCATTATTTTTTTATTTTCAAATGAAAGAATCATCTCTATTAGGAATTACAGCCCCTCTGGCTGAGCTATTCAACGTGCTCATTAAGATTGTCAGCTAATTAACACTTTCACCGTTGTGTTCCTGTCTCCATCTGTGTAGTGATTCGTTGCCCTTTACATTGGCAATACACCATGAGATAAAAATACTGCACCTTCACTCAGAATTAAGGAACACCCAATCTTTAGGTAACACAACTGGTTATTACAAAACGCCTAAAGGGATTTTGCATCAAATCTTAGAAGGTTCAAGGTATTCACGGATTAAGTTTTCTATAAAATCTCAATGTCAATAGCTATTGAGCCGAGATTCAATTTATGCACATATCAGACTTTATATATATATATTTAAATAATATTCTTGTACCACTGACAATGTAATTGTGAGACTTATTATTCTCATAGTTTATGAACACAATACAGGGTAGTACATACACAATACATTGTGCTTTTATTACACAGTGTACGCAAGTAATGAATCCTTCAAGTGGTGTCTTCACCTTTTGAATCTGCGTTTTCAAAACAGAAACATCCTTTTTTTTCTCTCCAAATGAGGAGGTTCTGAGGAGGGAAAAGGACAAAGGAAGAAGAAATAAAAATGTGCTGCAAATGCATAACTATCATTTTTTACACTTATATAAATGTGCCAGAACCTTTCAAAGTTGGGGAACCTGAAAAGGCTGTTGAGTGGCTTTGCTCTTGTTGGTTTAATAAGCTATCATGGTTTTTGGACACCCACTGCATATTTTCCACTGACTGACTTGCTTTGTTGTGAAGAGACAAGCACCTTTTTTTGCTGGGCCGCCTGCCAAGGCCCCTGGGCTCAATGACTCAAAGCTGATCATTAGGCGAGTTGGGTGCCATTGTCAGTCCACATCAACGTCAGGGCACAGCACGCGCCTGCCGCCTTGCCGATTTAAATAACAGGGCGGAGAGAGCTGGTCGAGGGGGCGCGGTTGCCTGGCGCTGGCCACCTGCTTACGAGTTGTTCCTAATGTGTGTACAACCAGGCCCTACAAGAGGGGGAGCCAGCAGAGCCATTTGGCCTGGGCCTCACCTCACAGGGAGGCCTCACCTCAGCCCAGGGTGCATGGTCCTCCACTTTAATCCTTTGGCTGTGTTTCTCGACCTAAGTCGAATGTGGAACTTTTACCACCTACTGTGATTCTCGACTAAAGTCCACGGCTGTGAAAAAACATCCCCCTTTCAGTGCTGAATCTACCCTGCTTTAGGAGTTTCAAAATGGCTGCCTTACTCTTCCCATCATGCCATTCTTTACATTCAAATATTTTTTTACCCCTCTTCCCAAACAATGAGGGGGGCTCGCAACGTGAAGTGGCCTGGGCCCGATCTGAGCTCTCGGAGGACCTGTGTACAACGCAATGTGTCCGAGATCATCTCGCTCTGTGCCTGTGCTCCTCATCGTCAGGGTGGTCAGAGTGCATGGCTGTCCGTTAAAATATTGTGCGTGCTGCAAACACAGACCCATGGACCCATCCTCCTGGCCAGAAATGAAAAGAGGCCAGTGTAGAAAAGTACAGCAGCAGCAAAGCCTCTGATGGCTGAACCCGGGATCCACAGAAGAGGAACATGCACAACTTGGAATGTGACTGCAAGACTGGGACCCTTCGAACTTGCTAAGAGTTTCTGCCATTGCCATTGGAGTTTTCTCAAGCGATATCAAATCAAATCATCACGCAGGATGTTCTGGGCTTGTCTGCCGTATTCTCAGAATCTGATTCGCTGAAAAAGGTAAATGCCCTTTTTTATGGGGGGCGGGGGTGGAGGGTAACTTTAAAGACAGAGTGGCTAGGAATAATTGTTGAGAGAAGTGAAATATCCCAACATTTTAATAACATTTAAATGATGTTATTTGAGGTCAAATCTTATTTTGTTGAACACCACATATAAGAGTTTTGGATCAGCCTCTGTAGATGTCTATTGCCCTTTTCTATTGTAATAGCTAGCTTCATCCTGAAATCGTATGCCTCACCTCTATCAAGAGGCGAAATGAGATAGAGACTTTATAAAGAAATTATATTGAAACCAGGTGTCTAGCATATAATATCTAAATCTTGCCGGTAGTGCCTCACAGGTACTGATCAAAACCAACTTACAATTTAGCAATTTTTATAATGTATTGATCTCAAACTGAAAAAAATGAAAAGTTCACACAACATCCATGTGAAGTAATGCGCATACTGTATATACAGTACAGTAGATCGGAGTTCAGTTCTTTAAACCTTTTGAACATCTCCTCTGTTCTTAGATGGGGACTCTTCCCTCACACCATGGCATGAGAGCTGCAACGTAATGTGAATGTGAAAGTGGTCACGAAGAAAGACAGTTGTGGTGGCCAAGATCTAACTTAGAGGGGTGTGGGAAATCGCAGTCTGGTGGTAACAAGTAGGCAGACAGCTTCAAAGCAGGACGGTCCACTCCCTTCGCTACCCTAAACACTTTGCCCAGTCTGATGTCACATACAGGCCTCAGTGAAGCCACAGTTTGTCTACACACAATACACGTAATCTCTCTGGGACAACCTGTCTTAGACCACAGCCTGGGAAGTCCGGTTGTGGCTGTAGTACGCACAGAGATACCAACCACGAGTGGGAAGGCATGGGAACTTAAGGAGGCAGATGACATTGTTTTTGTTCGCTAACAGACCAGATAGAGCTACATTTTCCCACAGTCTTGCTCATCATGACTAAGAGAACAACGGAACAGAGGCGAAGAGGCAGACAGTCCTACGTTTCGGCTGAAGAGTTTGAGTTCATAAGCCCCCCCCCACCAAGAAGGAGGTTATTGTTTTTCACTTTTCTTCAATTATCTCGAACGCACAAGTACGAAACCTTTGAGAAAGACAGCCCACCCCCCCAAAAAAAAATCAGAGCATTAACGACACCAGGACCGGCTTTGACGACCCTGACAGGAGAAAAAGAAACTTTCCCTGTTTACGGTGAGCAGGCGAGAGGCGGAAAGAAAGGAAGGAAGAGAAGAGAAGGTGAAGCAAGGAAAAAAGAATCAAAGAAGAAAGTGGGGGGGAAATGAAGAGCAGAAGGAGAAAGTTCAGGAAGGAGATAGAAAGAAGTGTTCTTTCACTGGCAAAAGCAGGTGATGAATAGCATGGCACAGCACGGTGGGAACTGGCTGTTGAAAGGGAGCATTATTGCCGTTTGCCCAGGATACGGCTCAGGCAGCACGGGCAGCCCACTCACCCCCGATTCCAGGCTTCGGCAAGGACAGGAGCCCTGCAGGCCCAGCGGGGTGCCTTCCGCCGCCCATTGTGAGAAGGAGGCCAGCGCATTAATCTCTTCGCAGAGCCCCTGCCACTGTGTCAGAGGCACGGAGAGACAGAGCCAGGCCTCAGCCATTGCCCCCCCAACCCTCCTCGCCTGACAAGGGCACAACAACAGCAGCAGCTCTCCGCCGGAGCCTGGGCTGGCAAGCATCAATGAAAGAATGAATGAACAAACGAGCGGATTAAAAAAAAAATCCGCTCCGCGCTGCGCTTGACCTCTGCCTCTCCTCCTCTTAAGCTCTCCATTCTCCTCGAACTGGATCCAGGAGCGATTGAACCCCAATCACACAATCCAAGTAAACAATTAGAATCTCGCTACGAGGGCTACCAGAAAAACCTGCATGCCATACACAGCTCTATAGCTCAAAGGAAAAACCAATAAGAGCACTATGAATCCTAAGAACCACCAAGGCAATACCCTAAAGCAAAAGAACATAAGAAAGGTTACAAATGAGAAGTGGCTCTTCAATCCATCTTGCTCATTTGGTTGCTTGCTGGCATCTTTGCTCTCTGGTGACAAAATCTTAAAGGGGAACTGCAGTCCCAATTTCCCAGGCCGGTTATTAAATCTCAGTAACAAAATAAAAAATTGACGTTCTAGAAAAATTGTAAAACATTTCTAATTCAGCGCAAAATCGTGAACTTTGTGAAAATGCTGCAAGTCCCCATGCTGTCCCAGACTCGTACTCAAGGTCCTAGGAATTGCAATGCGAAGCAGCCCTTCCTGCTCACTAGTCCTCTGTAATGAGTAATCTAATGTGATATACAAGTGAATAAGTACAGGTTGTGCAGCAGACATTTCACTGCAGAACTGTTCCAATACGATCTGCATGCAGAGGTGCATGTAAGAAATATTTGTCGGCAAAACCATCTTGAAGTCGAGGGCAAGATTTAATAAAGATGTATTAACAAGCCTGTTTGTTTACAATGTAATAAGGCTGCAGACTCACTGGAAGTTGTGTGGCCTCGTTCTAAATTGCGGAACATGGCACTGCGCATACCTAGAAACGTAGTCCATTCCGTGATGTAAATGAAAGGTTTTACGTGTTACTGTGTGCATTTTACAGTTGTGTACATCTTACTCTAATTGTGGTTTGAAATACGCTCATCAGTTGATTCTTAAATATAAAAATGGAGTCGCAGTTACCGTTTAAATGCATGATATTGCCCGCTAGAACAGAAGAAAAACAATACCGGAAAACAAATGATAATTTGAATAGCGACTACAAAAATCAAGCACTGCAGTTAAAAAAATGAACATAACCAGTGACAGTAACGCGCATGCGGTATATACAGTAGATTGGAGTAAAGTTCTTCATACATTCCCCATGTGCCCAATTTGTAGATAATCTTGATTTGGCCTAACGAAGCACTTTCCTTAGCAGTGAGAGTGCAGTCAGATGCTCTGAGCTGACAGACTGTGTGTGTGTGGGAGTGTGGGAGCGTGGGGTGGCAGAGGCTACCGAGAGAATGGGCCCAGATCCCCTTCCTCTAAGACATGTACAAACGGAAGCAAACAATGCTCAATGCAGATAAGATTAACAAAATAACAATTGAAAGCAAAACAGGCCCATACCCTTGAAGCTAGTCATCACATCTCATGGTACGCTAATCTCCCAGACTGTATCAGGCACAGGAAGTGAGCACAGTTCTGCGCCAGACAGAAAACTGACTTCTGCCTTGTTTCAGAGCTTCACAGCTGGTGGAGTCAGTCGGGCAGCAGGACGAGACTCCGGATGGACTGCAGCTCGAGCCGTTCCAGGTTTTGTCCAGGCTGTTGAACTCTGGTAATAATATGGGCATTATCCTAGCAGAGGGTACATTCATTCTTTTTGTCCTAGCTGCTCGTTGTTAGAAATACAATAACTCCAATGTTCTATGTCTTATCAAATTTTAGGATGCTGTGCTCAGTGAGCCTTCAAGTCTTTCTGAAGAGAAATTAATCACAATAATTACTAATTAGAATAAATTGTGCTTTTTGAGTGCTGTGAAACCTTCGCTCATGGTGGCGTGTAGTATTGCAGTGAGTATTCATTGACACAAAAGCAGAGTGAAGAAGAGAACAGCAGACACACATTAACCTGACTGTTGTCCCGTGTGCAAATGGAACATAGAAACAGTTAACCACTGCAACAGGGGTGTGCTTTAAACACCCACCTGTCTCTTCTGCACTTCAGTATTCCATTAACAGCCTTCTGTTCTAGACACATACAGCACACAATCATCGATTAACGATGCTTTCCAGAGGCAGTTTGGTTTT